TTACGCAGCTCATTTACGCACGTTTCCTGAAGATAGAAGTGTTTGTTGAATCTGACGTGACATGTTCGTACGAACCTTTTGTACGAACAAAAGTAAGAGAAATTTAGGAGAAGAATACGAACATGTTCTTGCATGAGGCCCATTGAGCCGAAATTTTGGGTGGTGGGAGCTGTGATCACCAACATAATAGTACTGTCACATCATAAATTTAAGATGGCAGCCGCATGGCAGTATCTGTCAATGTTTTACAAAGAACTCTTGTAGTTGCTTCATTCTATTGCTATGTTACAGACTAGCTTCTAGATGTTGCTCAATTTACATTAACTGGTTCTTAAACCCAGAGCTATTACACACAGTTGTTGATTACTATTAATTCAGTGGTTCAGAAAAAGTTATTTTTTCTTCACACACTTACTGACAGGTTGCCTCTACAGCAGACAATGCAGCTTGACAGATATTTATTCAGTTGTTGCTCTAACTGCCCGTCATTAAAATGCCACATGTGATCCCCACCCCACTTGTCAATCAATTGGGGGTGGCCAATCAGGTGCCGGCCAGCCCTCTGGCTCTTCCCCTGCACCACAGCAGCTGTTGAATCGATCTAAACTTGTACGAGTGTTCATACTTGGCAATGTTGAGGCCCCTGAAGAATCGAGCGATGTCCTGGTCAGAAGACTGCCATGGCAACCCTCTGGCTCTTATCACTGTGTTGTCACACACTTTCTCCATCTTACTGCTGCACACACACACACAGACAGAAATAAGCACAACAATTGGGACTTTAAGGCAATTTCAAAGGCAAAATAAAAATAAACTCACCAAGTGCCACTTTCAAATCTCTCGCTAACTCTCTCAGGGTTAGAAAACGTGTGGCCTGTAACAAAAACCCGTGAAGAATTCAACATTAGCACATAATTTAAAACAAAAAACTAACAGTTTTAATTACCCTTGTTACCCTCTAAAACATAAAAACACCTTTTAATTAAGCATTTGTTTTTTTTTCCTAATATTAATGTTAAGTAAAAAAAATATTATGCTACATCTAGTTTCAGGTTTATAAATTTGTTTATGTAATTTGTTTTTTAAATTACATAAATTACCTTTAGCGATACAGATAAAATTTGTAATAAGTGTCAGTGAGTTTTCCACTTCACTATCTTAAAAGAGGTGGTTCAGATCTCTTGAACCAGAGAGATTATGAGCTATAAACATTTTACGTGTCATAGATAGCCCTTCAAACAACCAAACATTTTGTTAAAAGAGTGAGTTGTTACAGTTTGAAGGGTATTGAAATGTTTGTCAAACTTAAAARTAGAACCAGTTTGAAGGAACAGAGTGCCTCAGTCCAGGGAATTAAATTATGGAATAATAGAGGATAATGTTAAAAAAGCCAGATCAATGTGTATATTTAAGAAAATGATAAAGGTAAATCTGTTGGAGAAATATGTATGAGTATAAGGCATGAATTGTTACTCAAAAAGGAATTAAAGCTTTGTTTTTTCTTTCATATTTTTGTACATTGTAAATTGAAGATTTTTTTGATTGAATTTATTTAAGAAAAAGGGGCAGAAATCATAAGATTCTTTTCTTCTTCTGCTACATTTCATTTTATTTGATTTGTTTTTTTGTTGTATGTTGAATTTATGTTGTTTTGTTTTAAATGAATAAACTTTATAAATAAAAATAAGTTTGAAGAAATTGAGTTTAATTCTGACCTGATTGATGAGCTTATGGCCAATTCATGGAAGATAATGAGAATGCACTTTTATAAACTTTTACACTGCAATCACTTTTTAATTACATGGTTATTCCAGCAGAAACAATGCAATAGTCTTGCCAGACATCATACAGATGCTTCTCATTAACGTCTTCATCTGGGTACTTGTTTGGCCATGCCATGTTTGTGGGCTAGCATTTAGCTTTGTTATGGCCATTACAAGCTTATGTGAAACCAGTATGGAGGAACCACAAAAGTAGCTACAAAATATACATAAATAAAAAACAAACTTGAACGAGGCAGACAGGCCCTTCCAGGACACACCATGCTGCTGTAGTAAACCATGACATCAAAAAAATAAATAAAATAAAAGAAGTCAAACTGGCACAGAGCTTTGGTATTTATAATCTGATGGAGTAAGTCACAGATCATACGTTTACTTTGGAAGTGAAAGATCGGGAATGGGGGAAAGGTGTTGACTGCAGCGTTCAGTACACTTTTTACTGCTTATTTATGGCGCTCCACCCTTTTTTAAAGAAGTATTGCGTACTATGCAGTTACTCACTGTTTTTTTAAATGGTCTGAGCACAATCTAGAATGCTGGGATTTGGTGAAATCTTTGCAGATGATTCTTGTTAAACACAAAGACCCTTGTGTGGAAAAAAATAAAATAAAAAAAGATGCTAAAATATTCTCAGAGTTTCCCCCAGAAAACTGGCTAAGGCTGGCAGTAGTGTTTATAAATTCAAGGAAGCGGTACAGTATAACGTTTGCAATGATGGCTGGAGGTGAAAATAGTATAGTTTCTAATGCCACGGTAGCAGAGTGCTACATTGCTAAAGCTAGGTTCTAGTCCCTTATCATGTTGTCTCGTTTGTCCAGTAGTGAAAAAAAAAAAAAAAAACCAGAAAACACTGCTGGCGTTGACTCTAAAGGTTTTTGAAGCGGGGCAGTGGGATAAGTAAGGACTTTTGGGTTGGCTGGGCTATAATACACCAGAGGAAACCCTGGTGCTGCAACGTAAACAAATTTCTTCTGCTAGCACCCACAAATATAGCAATTCTATCACGTGATCTGCAAGTCATTACGTAACTTGAAAATCATCTATTGCTAGCTGCTTCTGCTGGTATTTGTTCTCATCCATGATAATAAAAATTATATGTAAATAACAATGTAATGCATAATTATTATTTGTGTTAATAAAATAGTTAGCTTCTCAAATAGTTAGCTCGTCATTCCACCTGAGGTAGGTAATATTTATTGTTTGTAACTTTTCTACAGAACCCCACTTTTTGGATTCAACTCGTAAATGAGTTCACTTTAAATTAAATCAAACCAAATCTTTGTTAATAACCTGACATGTGATACTTACAGAATGGCTCTGAGAGCAGCGTGAGAACAATGCTGGCCATGAGCCGGACCTGCTGCACGGCCACTTCCGCGGGCAAAACTCCTGATGGCTCATGAGCAGTTGAGGGATCCCACATGGTGGGAACATTCACAGGTATGCTAAGAGCTGGAGGAGTAGCTGGTTAAAGAAGCTACAGAGTCACTAAGTGGTTTGACTACAATCAGAAGTGTAAAACATCTGGATCAAAACATTGACATGTCAGGTTTGCTCTGCCATTGGGTGTGTGGGGTTTGTCCTGTTGGCTAAACACACACACTTCTTAGCTTAGAGCTTAGCAAAGTGCTGCCATTCTTCCTTATTTGCATTTCAAAACCTCTTACCCAGCAGCCAACACCCTGGCCTGTAAAACATCTAGTACGTTATTCTTAAACATTCTTCAAAATGACAGAAAAACACGTCTGCAATTAACAACAACAATATGTTGTCACACGTGTGAAAAGGATACACTCAGCCATGACGTGTACATTCAAAGCCTTGAGGTCAGAGTCGGTAAAGTGATTCTTGAACTCCTTCCGAAGGTCGAAGAAGGAGTAGAAACATTCGGGGACCAGGATGTTCTGCAGAAAGAACAAACAAAAGGAAAGGATGTGAAGAGGTGGCTCTTCAACAGCTGCTGTTTTATTACTTTTTGTCACACTTATGTTTGCTCAGGCAAACAAGAGCATACATGGCTTTCTAAACAGAGGGCAATGGTGTGTATCCTCAGGTATGTTCATAGGTGTGTGTCTGTTTTTGTGTGCGTGTGTGCCCTTGTTTTTGCTACTTAGTGGGGACGATTTTTTCAGGAAAATGCAGCCTCGTGGGGACCGGATGCTCCTCGTGGGGACCAAAGCCTGGTCTGTCCTGGTCTGTCCCCACAACTTTGGATGCTGATTTTTGGTGGGGGGTGGGGTAGGGGTAAATGGTAAATGGTAAATGGACTGTACTTATATAGCGCCTTTCTATCCATCAGGGACACTCAAAGCGCTTTACACTGCAGACATTCACCCATGCACACACACATTCCCACACTGATGATGGCAAACTACAATTGTAGCCACAGCTGCCCTGGGGCACACTGACAGAGGCGAGGCTGCCTTACACAGGTGCCACCAGACCCTCTGACCACCATCAGTAGGCAAGGCGGGTAAGGTGTCTTGCCCAAGACACAACGACTGAGTCGACTGGATGGGAATCGAACCGGCGACCTTCCGGTTCCAGGTCAACTCCCCTAACCACTCTACTACAGCCGCCCCAGCCGGTAGGTTTAGGACCAAGGTGTGAATTAAGTTTTGGTTAGTTTTAGGGTCAGGTAGGTACCTGTGAGGTTAATTTTAGTGTAAATGGTCTGGGTTAGGTTTTAACATTTCAAAAAAAAAAAGAATGGAAGTCAATGGAAAGTCCCCACAAGGATAGAGACATAGTAGGTGTGTGTGTGTGTGGGGGGGATGGGTTTTTCCTACAATGTGGGGAATTTTTTTAACCAAAAAAAAGCAGCCTCGTGGGGACTGAAGTGAATCTTGGGGACCAATGCCAGGTCCCCACAGGTCCAAATGCATGTTACAGGTGTGGGGTTAGGTTTAGGACCAAGGTTTAGGTTAGTTTTAGGGTCAGGTGGGTACCTGTGAGGTTAATTTTAGAGTATATGGTCAGGGTTAGGCTAAAGTCTAAAAAACATGAAAGTAAGTCAATGGAAGGTCCCCACATGGTCGAGAAACAAACGTGTGTGTGTGTGTCACTGGACAGGTCTGCAGGAGTTTCACTGCAGATCATCTTTCATAGCAACATTTGATCCAGCTGGGAGCAAAGTGCTGCTGACACAGCACTGAAGGATCCTGCAGTACACTACATACGCCCTGGCTGCGAGGCGTTTGCCCTACCCTGCTCGCTCACCTTGCTCGCTGCCTCGGGGTGAATCACTTGGCGGATGTGGAGCTGCCCGTCTGTACACAAACACACTGACGTGCCTGCGCCCGCAATGTTCACCTCATTCGTCAGCTGCAGATTAAACTGCAAAAGGAGGACGTTTAGAAATAAAAAGTCAGAAATTATACATCATACATACTTTTTATCATGAAGTACAAAACTAAAACTGTATTTTTCTTTTTACACACACTCCAGAGGCAACATTACCACGTTGAAAGCGTTGTTGAGACATGTTGCTGTGTAAATGCAGTCTGCTCCGTTCACGCTCTCCTCCTCCTTTTCCTCCTCCTCGCTTTCCTTCACAACATCTTTATCCACTTTTTCGTCTGTCAGGTCTGAGAGGTCAGGCTTGATGATGAGCTCATTCACCCTGCCCAACTGGTTCAAAAAGCAAGCAAGAAAACAAAGGGGAAAAAAAACAAGTCAGTCTTGAAACAGCTTTCACGTGATGACAAGGAAACATTGTATAATTAATATATATTAATTACATACTGCCAGGACTCTCTTACTTTATCACGCTCAATTTTACAGAAAAAAAATCTCTAAAACCTATGTTAATAACTGCATGACAAACTAATACTGTATAACTTTTAACTTGTGCAATTTAAGCAAACTCTCACACTGCTCTTTTTTTTACATTTTTATATACATATAGCAGTTTAATATCATGCTGTCTGTCATACCCTTCTATATGAAAGGGAGGGTCAGTGTCTCTGCCTCACGCAGACTTAAATAGTTTACCATAATTGGGAATCGAACCTCCGATCGAGAAACAATCTCCCTTCCCACTGAAGCAAGCGCTGAAGTTTAATGAACCACAGCTCGCTTTACCTGCCGTCACCTATAATCACATTTCCTGCTTTGTAACAGGCAGTGGGCAACTACTAACAAAAATAAGGAAGAAAAAAAGAGTTTTACCGTTTTATTCTTTACATCAACCAGCTGCCAAACCAGGCGAAGCAGGTCCTTCTCGTCAGAACCCAGCAGCTCTCCGGCCGCGCCAGATGTGGTGGTGAAAACCACCGCCAGGTAGTCTACCTGCGCCGTCATCTGAACACAAACAACTAAAAAACAAAACAACCAAAAAATAATAAAAAACCTAAAAGTAATACTACACTGAAGGAAAGAGAACTAAGTGAAACACCTGTGGAAGGCTAGAATAGGCTACTTGAACGTAAATGTTAGCACCTTGAAGCTTTTTGTTTTTATTTTTAATTTTTTTCCCGCGTGCTAAGGCCTCCCGCAGTCACCATTGCGGAGTAATGGCTGAACACTCCCCGGTTTTGTAGTGATTCTTACCTGTGCTTGACACGTGACTCTCCACCTGGCACCGCCCTCCCTCAGGTGGGACGTGGCAGAGCATGGAGAACAGAAAAGGATCTCCTGAAAAGTTTTTTTTTATCTCTGCAGCTGATGTTTTTAGAATTTGCAGGGTGAAAAAACTGAAATCCACAAAATTAGGTACAATATGTAACCTATTTTATATAATATTTTTATTAATGCACTATAAAACAGTTCTAAAAGTTGATTTCAAAACAAAAACGCAATAGAATAGAATAGACTTTATTGATCCCTAACAGAAAATTGCCTATATTTTTTCAAGCTACTCCATCCAAAGTGTTAAATATTAAGAAAATAAAATTGTATATATG